TGCGAATGGCAAATTAACTCACATGTGATGGTACGGTAACGGATTTTTATATGGATGGAGGTAAGGAAATTGGTAAGGTATGAAAAATTAGAATCATCATTTAATGTGACTCGGAAATTAATTTTTGTAATTCTCTTTTTTGAAAATGAAATGAAATAAAAAATATGAATGAATTTCCTCAATCGTGTGCGTGTGTTTTGCTGTTTATTGAGGATAATTAAAATTGAAGTGAATCGCTCAGTTGTGTCAGTGTCCATAACCATTAATAGTTGTGGCTGATATCGATGATTCATATTAAAAATTGATGGACTTTATCGTGAATTAATTAAAATAGAAAATGTCAGTGAATTAAATTAAATTAAGGCTTAAAAGAAGGAAGAAATCATGAGGAATATGGATATAAAGCTTAAAGCATATTGCATTATTCTCACAGCATTATTCATGCACCAAATCGAAGGTAATTAACATGATCAAAAATTATAAAATCTTTAAAATCAAAATTGATGTTCATTGGACATAAAAACAGCATAAATTTGTATTAAAATTTTATGTCCGATGAAAATTTCTGGTGAAAATGAAAATTAACGGCAACAGAAGCGACATCAGCTAATGCACTTGCAAGTCATAAAGCAATTAATTGATCGAAATGAATTTATTGCCATGTGCTGTATTTTTTATGGACAATCATTGTGCGTTACATGCTGTTGAAGTCGCTTTTTCGTTGGTTTGATGATTTTGAATTTTGTCTGGAACATGAAATGGCAAGAATCACTAAAATAAGAACCGGCGACATAAAAAAAAATTTCCATGCTTTCTCGCCTTCAAAAAAGAATAAACTTTCCAAATTTTTCCTCCCTTGCTTCCTTGTCAACTTCCTTAAATCGAACAAAAAAAGGAAACAAAATTTAATGAACTCGAAAACGACACAGAAACACACAAAAAGTGAACAACAATGCAAGAAAAATGAGAAAATCAACAACAAAAAAAAAGTTTTTTGTACGAGGATTTTTATTCCTTCAAATATTCAGTCTCACCCTCAACAGAAAGTCTGTTTAATTTATTAATTATTGATTAAGCATTAATTCATTAGTCAATAAAAAATGTTGAATGAAATTAATCGACATGAGCAGGCATGAGTGGGAAGTTTGATGAGGAAAATTAAAGCCGGCAGTCAAGTTAAAATTTTCATGATTTTTGGATTCAGTTCTTAACTTTAAATCCAAATGAAGATTTTTTTCCAACAGTTTTTAGACTGAAAATCCACAAAAGGAGAGGAAATAAATGATTAACAATAGTTTTAATTAAGAAATCCACAAAATGAACATTTTTTTGTCGCCTTCGGACTTTTTACAATTTTTCATTCCTTCAAACTTTTTATTCCGTTCCTTTCTTGACTAAAATATTTTCATCGTTAATTAAAAAATTTTCTCGACTTTCTCGTCTTCTTCATTCCTTATCATGTGCTGTGCTGTGCGTCTTGACAAACTCGACTTGCGATTTAATTTGTGGAAAATTGCGGCATCCTCATTATGCTGCTGCTGCTGCCATATGGCATGAAGTTTTATTCTTTTCTTATCTTTATCCTCATTTTGACATTCTTTGAGCAGCTTTGAGCATCAAAAAAAGTGACAGGAAGTTTCTTATCAGCAACAAAAACAGAAGAAGACTCAAAATTGATTGAGGAATGAGGAACTGAAGATAATTAAGAAATTTTCTTTCAAAATTGACATTTTCCAATCCTTTTTTATGTCAAGTTAAGGATCCAGGTGACATTTTGATTGTGGAAAATTCCTTGATGAATCATTAAATGCCGTTAATCGCTTTCCTCTTCAATTTATGCCTTGATAAAGAAAAGTCGCAACTGTGAAGGAAATTGTGAATGACTTGAAACATTTTTCGACCCATTTTTCATCCCCATTCTGAACTTCTGAGTGAGTCCGCACATTTAGTTGAGTCTGAGTTGCTGTCAAAGTTGAAAACAAATAAATTTCCTGTCTCGTGGCACAACTGATTACATTAGCACACAATTACGGCTGTGCAAAGTCAGAACGGTGACCGAGAAAATGGGAAAAAATGGAAGTGAAAATCGCCTAAAGTGTCGGAAAGAAAAATTTCAGTTAATCAATTATAAAAATTTTGACTTTAAATGCTTTTTGATAGCTGAACAGGAAAATTCTGTGCTGAAAATTGTTGGAAGTGCTGAAAAAAATGTTGAAATTAAAAAAAATAATTGAAATTAAATCGTGAATTTATAATAAATGCTGAAAAAAGTTAATTGAAATCAGGAAATGGAAAATTTTTCTGATTTTTCCAATGAAATTTTCAATTCTAGATGTTAATTTGAAGTTGTGGATAGCAAATGAAATGGAAAATCAACAAAATCAATTGATTGTTAAAATTTGTCTAGGATTCAAACTGATTTAAGTTTCCTAAATACCAAAAAATCTTCAAATTTTTATTACAAAGATTTTTAACAATTTTAATTTGCGAATTTTTCACGAAAATGTTCAACAATGAAAAACTTTTCCAGCTCAATGAATTTTCTTTGAAGCTTTTCGAGATGAAAGTTGAAAAAATTAAAAAAAGTAAAATGAAAAATTAAAACTTTTTGACTTCTAAGAAATGCACAATCATGTGGAAAACTCAGAGAATTTTGTAGAAAAAAAGGGCGATTCAATTATTGGTGCAGAATTAGAAAGCAAATTTGAGTCTATATTTTGAGCAGTGTTGCAAATGTAGATGTCTACACTAGATGAAGAATGTAGATTCTTCAATAGTTTTTGTCTAGCTAAGAAACTTTCTTTATAAAGATCGATTCTACATGAAGATAGAAAATCTAATCTACACAAAGATTATTTCTACATAAAGATTCTGTTTACATAAAGATTCGATGTAGATGTCTACAATTCTACATTTTTTCCAGGTCTACATCAGAGAAGAATGTAGAATTGTAGACATCTACATCGAATCTTTATGTAGACAGAATCTTTATGTAGAAATAATCTTTGTGTAGATTAGATTTTCTATCTTCATATAGAATCGATCTTTATGAAGAAATTTCTGTCTCAGAATTTGTCTGATCCAGACAAAAAGCCAGAATGCAACACTGATTTTGAGATTTGAACTCATAATTTTAAAGGTTTTTAATTTCTATGCATTTAAATTAAATTATATTTAAAGAACTTCTGTAAAAATTTATACTGCTTGAAAATTAAATATTGAAGCAGAAATCATTTCCTTAAGACTTTGTAAACTAGCCTGAATCCTATTCATCAGCATTTACATAAATCCTGCGAAAAATCATAAAAGATTCATCAAATTCGAGCAAAATCACAAGAAAAGCAGATCCAGTTGAGAATTTTTCCTTCTCATAACAAAATCCTTTTTTCCTTCTTTTATTGTCTGCTTATTCCTTGCAAGAAGGAACACATGAATCAAGAAATATTTTACTGCAATCGATCGAACTGAACTCGATTTTTATGTTTCACATATTTTTATGATTTTATGTTTCTTTTATTTGAACAAATTCCCAAATGAGCACAGCACAGAAGCAAAGAAGAAGAATGTATCGAATGTCATTGTGATATGTGCTGTGCTGCTCACTCTTCATGATATTTCTGTTCTGTAACACATTTTTCCATTCACAATTATTAATATTCGATTCGCCTCGAGATGTGAAATCTCTTGAGCTTTTTGCTGTTTCCTTTTCGTCTATTGATGGATGTGAGATGCAATAATGCATGGATGAAATCGATACTTTCAATTCTTCTCATCAATGAACTTTCTTTAAAATCTCAAAAATTCCTTCAGTCATCGAATTTTATTAGAAAAATCCACAAATAAGGAACAAGAAAAAAAGGAACTGAATATTTATGTAAAGTCATCGAGTCTAATTGATGGATCGGATGAAATTTTTCATCGTCCATTTGCTTCAATTACTAACCACATGTTGTGCCTGCCTTCCTTTTGTGCCTTTTCCTTAACAATTTACATCATTCTTCCAAGTCATCATTAAACATTGAAAATTTTACTTTGTGTGCTGTAGACCTTTTGGGCATGGACATCAACAAGTCATGTGACAATTTGGAGGAATGATCAAAAAATATTACGATGAGTTTGTTAAACTCAAAGTTTGGTTCCCGAACGACCACAAAATTTAACAAATAATCAATCCATGCCGTTCATTGTTCAATTTTTCCATAGAAATATTTTTATTGCCATTCCATGAACCACATTGTTTCTCATTCTCTATACTGCATGTGTGTCTGTACAACACATGAACGAGTACTTCCTTACAACTGAAATTGGCCTAAGCCTCATGCGAGAGACGAGGAAGAGGAAAAAAAAAGAATAAAAAACTTTTTCACTAAATTGAATAAATTTGCATTTCATTTCGTTTCATTTTCGTTGAGCATAAAAATCCATAAATTTCAACTTCCAACTGACAATATGCTAAGGAACTGGGGATGAGTTGCTGCTGTACTGAAATTAAATTTTTTTCGAATTTTAAAATCAAATTTTCTGTTAAATTGAGCTGAAAATTCTTCAATATTCAGTCTGTGACATTTTATGGGTATGGCAGCAGCAAGCAAGCAGTTGTGCTAATGAAATCATGTCGACATTTCACATTTCCTTGTTGTCCGTGCTATCCGCAAATATTTTTTGCATTGCATGCTTTAGAAACATTAACAAGTTTTTGCTGCCATTAAACAATCTTAAAGTCCATAAAAAATGAGGTGAAGACATTCATGTGCTGTTCAGGAACGGTAGGAATATTGAAAGATTTTCATTTTTTCCTTTTTTTGTGAAAAGTCTGAAACGTTTTTGAGACTTTCATATTTTTTTTGGCTGTTGGAATCTACAGCATGAGAAGGTTGCTGAATGTAAAACAACAGAAACTAAAGACCTTCATCATCGCAGATTTTTTTTTACAATTATGATGATTATGTCAATCAAGGACATGTCTTTCATACGAATTTGAACTAAACATTCTTAAGCTTGTTTTGTCTTTCAGGTTTTATTGTTTTTAATATATAAAAAATTTTACAGCATTAGAATCTTATTCAACATACTATATGCTTCATTTTTCTTTAGATACTTTATTCTTCAAATTATTTAATTATGGATGCATTTAAGGAACTTCATGGTCATTTTAAACTTACAGTTGAACTTTAAAGGAATGGCTAATATGGATAATCAAGTGCTTAATGTCTAATTATCAATAGCAGGCTGAACAGCTTCTTCTTCTTCAATTTTCTTCTTTTCATCATCAACTGGAACTGCTGTAATTGCTTCTTCAGTTTCAATAATTTGTTTCTTAGCAGGTGAACTTTCAATGTTGGAATCAGTGACATCAGGCTTTTTGCGCTTGACTAAATGTGAAATATCACTTGCTGACTCAGAGGATTGTTGCTTAGAATTGTCAGTATTCATCTTACTATAGAACTTTGCTAGTTCCTTCAAGACTTTCTCAACTTCATCAGCCTTAATGTCACCAGTTTCATTGATTTTATTCAAAATCTCCTGCTTTGTCTCTTCCATATCCCTAATATTGGCAGCAACTTCATCAGTTTGTTCCTTAGACTTTTCCTTTTCAATCACATCCGACAATAAATCGTGAGCCTTTTGGAATGACTTGATAGATTCATCATAGGTTTTTTCCAATGTCTGGCACAAGCCAACTTTGTAATGAATCTCAGCAGCTATGCGATAATTCTTTTGTGACTCCTCAATGCGATCAAATGTAGCTATAGCACGAGCATAGTCCTCTAAAGCTACTGCAAAGTTTCCATTCTCAATTGATATTCCAGCCATTTCATTGTAAACATCAAGGAGATTTGACAAGCCTTTTTCGTTTTGTCGCTCGAAGATTTGTGCTGCATTCTGCAAAACTTCCCATGCGACTTCTAAATTCCCTCCATCTTCCTCAGTTTCTGTTGCATCAACTGGATCTGAAGTTTCAACTTGAGTTCCTGGATTTTCGCTCTCATCCTTGTCATCTCCATTTGTTAAGACTGTTAAGAAATTAATTGATTAATAAATACTTAATTTAATTAACTTAAATGCTTGCCGTCACTTTTAACTGTTTCAGAGTTCTTCAATTCACTTTCTGGTTCCTTAGAATCTGCAGCTGAATTTTCGGGCTTTTCTTCGTTATCCTTTGAATCTTCTTTTGTTTCTGGATCATTCGATTTTTCTACTGGATCTTTTTCCTCAATTTCAGTACTTTCTTCGTCAGTTTCATCGTTTTCGTCGTCGTCTTCCTCTTCCTGAATATCCAATAGCTTATTTTCTTCTTGTCCAACAGCAATCAATGCTTTTGCATACAATAAATAAACCTCGCCAAGTTCATCACCTTGAAGTCCGAAAAGTTCTCCATATAATTCGCAAGCATCACTTAAATCGTCAGCAGCTTCAGTGTAGTTCTTAACATAGTAGTTGCGACATCCTTTTGCGTACAATTCCTTAGCTTTTAATGTCTTTTCTTCGACTGTAAGTTCGACCTTTTCTTCTGGTTTATCTGACATGCTTGTTTTTTTGAATTATCAATTTTTTAATCAATTTAGTATAATTAAGTTATGATTTATAGTCGTTTATTGGTGATTGCGTTCTTCTGAAGAGAATGCAAGTAAAATAATAGCTAAGAAGTTAGTATAATTAATAAAATTCTGGACTTACAAGTTTTACGTCTGATCTCGATCAATGCGGTGTAAAAAGTGCCGAAATTCAAAAAAAGTTCGTTAAACAAGGGTGTGAAACTATGATTTTTCGAAAATAATTCAAAATTGGAATTCAAAAAAGCCGTTGAATTTTCCGTTAAATTTCATTTTAATTAAAGTTATCTTAAGCTATAAATAGCTGCAAAACCTGCAAGGAACAAAATAGAAGTTTAAAGTTCAGATGTAATTTAAGAAGAACCATAATTCATGCTCTAAATCTAATGAATTTTAACAAGAGAATTATTCATGTGCACACAATATTGGAAGTCTTACCTTTCATGGATGTTCAAGTTGTTTTAAAGCATAAATCTTACGCCTGTCAAGCAAGAGTTCAACACAAGAGCATTTTCTCTACCTTTTCTAACGTGCATTGAATTAGTTTTCATTCTCACATGTGTGTCTGTTAAAATTGAAGGAAATTGCTGAAATGAATTATTGCAGTTGCTTTTATTTGTCGTCCTTTGTAGACCTTTCGAGTGCCTATTAAAATAACGAATTTTAAAATTTCGAAACTTCATTTTTACGAACTCACATTTTTACGACCATATCATTTTTACGAAAAATTATTTTTTCGACTTTTTTATAAATTTTAAATTCTGAAATGACGTTAATTTCATCACGTGTTCTCTTTAATAATAAATCTGCAGAAAACAAGATTATTAGAACAAATTTTTTTAAATGTACAGAATTAAAACGTATTTTTTATTTCAATATCACATTTTATGGACTACATGTGTATGTTTAAAGGTGTAACAAACACAATTAAGCTCTTAAATCATTTTTGACTCCTGCAATAGCCTTCAATGTTTCAACTCGTGGCACGGATTTTCGACGGTTCAGGATTGATTTAATGGAATGCTCTGTCTTTTCAAAACCTGGCATTCTATGCTTTTGTGGCTTTCCAGCCAAATATTTGTCAATATCCATTTCGATAGACACAAATTCTTTCCTTTAAACATACACATGTAATCCATCAAATGTGATATTGAAAAAAAAAATACGTTTTTATTCCATACATTTAAAAACATTTGTTCTATTAATCTTATTTTTGCAGATTTATTATTGAAGAGAACACGTGATGAAATTAACGACCTTTCAGAATTTGAATTTTATAAAAAAAAGTCGAAAAAATAATTTTTCGTAAAAATGATATGGTCGTAAAAATGAAGTGTTCGTAAAAATGAAGTTTCGAAATTTTAAAATTCGTTATTTTAATAGGCACTCAGACCTTTCTGATGTCTAATTTTTATTAACTTTATGTAGGTAAATTCAATGAATTACAGTTCCTTAATTATTATAGTTACATAAAGTAGATCACGTGAAAATTTTACGTCGACTGTTATAATTTTACGTACGTATTTTTTATAACGCTTTTTCAAATATTTTTAAACCGTTATTTTTTGAATATCATTCAACCGTTATTTTTGAAGTATTTTAAAATAATCTAATTTAAAGCCATTCTCATAATCTTTACCATACACAGAAGCTATAATAATGAACAGCTCCATACCCAACACAACATGCGCATTCAAACGAATTAATTACAATAATTATTTTTCCTTTCTCTCATTAAAGCTTATAAGGTTCTTCTAAGAATAAGACGAGTTTTATTGTGTAACAAAAACAGGTGCACATAATGTTACTTCCTCATTCATTCCATTCCATCCCCTCATTTTAATTATCGTAATTAAATCGTTTGTGCTCTTTTATTATCTCTCATTCACCGGTAATTGATGGTAATCAGTTTCTTTTGCAGCACTTAACCCGCTTGCGTCTTCAACGACAATTCAATTCGTGCTGTTTTGTGTTGAATTTCATTGTAATCTCCTTTATGGGCATTTTGGAGTGGTTTGTATAAGTTTGAGGAGTCACATGTGGAACTATCTTCAAATTATGTTACTAAGTCCGTATTTAGACACTTCCAATTCTTCATGCTTAATATTATTCTGTCTCTTGAACCTCATTTGTGAACAATCGAGACTAAAATCATCGCTAGGATCCTAATTGAAGCTGTCATTCATAGAAATGAGAAAGACTCATAATTAACACAATTAATATTCATCCGTAACGTGATTCGTCTTAATTTAATTAATGATGATGATGATGATTAATTTATGCTGTGATATCCGATGGCATATTGTTGCTATTTATCAATCTTTTATGAACGTTATGATGGATCTGCAGAGGAATTAATAATATAAAAAGCTCTGAACGTTATCAGTGAACGACTTTTTGCATAAAGAACACTTTACAGCTTTAGATCTACCCCTAATTATAGTCCAAACTCTACTCTTTGTTCATAATTTCCTTCCATATTGTTTCAACGTTAATTTCACAATTTTGATTGCATTTTTCTGAACATTATGTTCAATGTATAATAAATGAATAAGATATGAAGGCAGAGTGCTTGTTGCAAGTTCGATGACATTTTTTTCACGGCTATAGCAATAAACATGTGGGGGAGGAAAACAATATTTTTTACAACTTCTTCGTGCATTTTTATCATCATAATCTGAAAATATGAGTGAATCACAACGTAGATAAAAATGGAATAAGGAAGGAAGTAACACACACACACACACAGTAGGGTTGTCACCATCTGCAACTTTTCAATGACTTTCATCCCCAAAATATTCTCCTGACTAATCTAATAATACAAAGAAGAGAAATTTGGTGATCTTTTAACATTGAACATCCTTTACTTCTCAGTTCCTTTGCCTCACTTTCCATTATTATTCATCTTTCACATGATAAATGACTCCACTTTCTACCCTGTCTCTGCTGTGTTTAAGAAAAGCCATGAAAGATTAAATACTGTTGAAAGATTCATGCATAAAACATCCATTTCGGCTTTCTTTTCATCTCCTTCCCGACTTTTTCACATCCAATAACTGCAATTGAGCACAAAAGATGGGATTTTTTGCTTCTGTAAATGAATTTGAATGAATTTTTCATCTAAATAAGGGTAATTTCACATTTAGCATATCATCATCGTCAAAAATAAGTTAAGGAAGTAATGCTAGGGAAGACTTAAGGCAAAGAATAAATATTCAAAATTTTAACTGTTCTTGTGAACTTGAATTTTGTCCTTAAAATGTGATTGCGGCTGAATATTTTCAAAAATTATAAAACCGTTAAAATTATAAACCATAGAAAATTTAATCAAAAACGAAAATCATTCATTTTATTCCAATCATTAAAGTCATAAATCTTCAAATTGATTCACGACGAAATGTCAATTCCATCAAAATGTAATTTTTTATGTAACAATTCAACTTAAAAATCTTGCAAAATGCCAGTACAATTAGCTTCAGCTGGAATATCGCTGATAATTCCCAACAATTCAGTGACGTCACAACAAATGGTATATCCCTTATAAAAGTTCTTCCTATCTGCCCAATTCCATCCATTGCCGTCACAAATATCAGTACATAAGTCAATGATGGCAGTTGGAAATGGATTATTGTATGTGACGAATGCAATTCCGTTTCCATTTTGTGTATCCTTAACGACTTTCCATGCCCATTTTGGTACTTCCAGACCATCATCTTCGAGACTAATTCTTTGATTTTCAAGTTCCAAAACTTCAAATCCACCAGTAAAGACCTTCAAATCATAACTCAATGCTGCAGCTTTTGACCTAACTGCGAATTCAATTACTTTCCAATTTCCATTATTTACAGACTGCCATTGTGGAATGACATTGATGTAGTAGTAAGTAGTCCATTGCCAGGACACAAATATCATGTCACCATCTGGTGTGAGATGTCCACGTGCCAAATATGTCTGATTCATATATTCTTGAGCTTTAATGCTGCCGACTAAACTGGTAAGTCTAACAAGTTGACTAGCTTTTGTAAATGAAGTTGCTGGTGCAATATTTGAAGGAACTTCAGCTGTCTTAAAAGTCGATGGACGTGTGCTTGTTTTCATTGCATTTACAATTGAATTTCCTTGGACAATATGTGCTGAATATATTGCAGATCCTCTGACTTTTGAGTAGCAAATGTCAATAAGATTCACAAATTGCCCATTAAATTGATATCCAATATTTATGAATGTCCCGTCACTTCCACACTTTTGATTCTGATTTACAGCAACACCAGTGATTGATGTGCTGCACTCATTGATTTGACTGATGTCATAAAGTTGATTATTGACATAGAATTGCTTTCCTGATGAACATGTAATCGTGGCACTTGACTGCGTGTCTTAAAATTTATTTATTTTTTAAATCATATTCACACAAAATTTTCAATTTTTGTGAATATATTTTAAGGTTTTTTTTGCTATTTTCTAGCTACTTACTGAATGTCAGAACATTTGCCTTAGTATCAGCTACACAAGCAATGAAAGCTGATTCACCATTGGCAAAACTTAAAATGCCATCATCAGGAATCGCTAGTTGATATTGATTTTGGCTAGATTTAAGAAAAACTGGCTCGCGAATTGCGGTTGTTGATCGATTTAAGTCTGTTCGGATGTCTAAAATGCATTCTGAAATGAGAAGATTTATAGCCCTCAAACCTATTGTTCAAATAAGATCGTATGATATTTTTTAAAAATTCCTTCCTGTCTGCAAACAGAACAGACAAATTCCTTAAATTAACGCTACAACTCATTTTTTTTTTCAAAAACATCTGTTCTTACGGCTGTTTATGTCATAGACAAACGTCAACAACATAATACAAAATTTGAATAGTTTCTGACAACTGCTCATCATTTTTGTTACGGCAGGTTACAATATTAATTCACAACTGATATGAATATTTATTATTATGTCACTTTTATATTGAATTTAGGAGCTTTTAATGTGATTATAAGATAATGGAAGGTTCAATATCACGTTGGATGCATCTCAGCCTGTAGCAACTTTCTTCGATACATCACTTTTATGTTCACATGCCTTACAAAATATGTATATGAAATCTCGAGTTGACTTCAAACTCTGATGTAAATATTTCATTTGAATAAAGCTTAAGAAAATTAGACAACAAATCTCTTTACAGCACTCAAGGAATGAATCAGGTGCATCGAGTAAAATTCATTTCCACTTCCATTTCTCTAGCCTGAGAAAGAATTAAGTTAAAAAATAAATTTACGATAAACATGAAAATGCAATTATTGAACGATGAAATGGAAAAATTGATCGATTGATTCTATTTATGAAAGAATAATCAGCATAAGATTTCCATTAGATTTGCAAAAGATTTCTCTCATGTAAGTAGCATAAATTTTGAATTCTTGGGATTTTTCCTTACATTTTTATAAATTACAAGACATTATTTATTCGACATATGATGAACATTTTTCATCCCATTCCATCCACTTCCTTTCCGACTATAATTGTATGATTATTATTTTATGAGAGCAATTTTCTTGTTAAATCTCATTATTTGATGCTTATCATGCAGTAAATTAATGTGTGTGGACTTTGATGAAGACTTTCGTTGTCTATAAAGGTCAATAAACTCTCAAAGACAATGTAAAGCACCGCAATTTAATATTAAAAACTTTTTATTCCACTCTGATTCCCAAAACTCAAAGTTTCAAGACATAAAATCATTAAAATCCAAAAACTTTTACTTTTTTTTTCATCAAAATTCTAAATTGAAAAGTTTTCCATAAAAATATCCCCAAACAGCCCCAAACCATTTATTAATCCACAAAAAAAATTAATATAAAGCTCGATGGAATTTGAAGCAAAACAATCTGTTCATTTTTCTTTAATTTTTGCCATTTGGCAACATAACTTGGAGATATTTTACAAAACAGCATCAGAACTTGATGAAACTTTCCATTTTTTCTACTAATATAAACAACAACAAGCAGAACAGAGAGGAAAAAAGAATAAATGGAAGTGATTCTCGGGGGGAAAATCTGGAAAGCAATTCGAGTATTGAATAAAAAAATTTCATTTCTTCATCTCTTTGCCTTGCTCCCTGCTGATCTCTTAATTTAAATACATTAATTTTTTTTGTTTTGTTTTACTGTTGCTGTAAGTGTGTACATGCCTTTAATTAAAAAGTTAAAATTGTTGGATTCATGCAATTATTGAGAAGATTTCTTCTTCTACTTTTTAAAGCAACAATTCAACTGAAGTGATGCTGGATAAAAGTTTGAATTTGCATAATTTTAATGAGATGGGATTTATTTGTTTCCAGACTAAATAGCCCTAAAGATTTAAATGTATAGAAGGTCTGAATAGATTGAATCATTATAACAAAGATTGATTCAGAATTACTCGATCCAAAACCTTAGCTACATCCTTTTAAACTTACCTTAATCCAAAATCACCTCCAAACATTGAACAACAAGATTAAAACTTTAGAGTAGCTACAAATAAATCTCAAAAAAGTAAAATAAAATCGAGATTTGTCAAAACCAAAACTTTTTCTTCAATCCTGTTCTACATTTTAACTCAATTTGAAAAGAAGTAGGAAATGTGAAGCTCAAATAAATCGCCATGGGAATAATAAATATTATTTTCCACCTCTCAAGATAAAGAAAAAGCCAGAATAAAAATAAAAAATTTCCTCTCGCTCGTGTCTCATTGGGGAAAAAACAAAGGGACATCTAACATCCTTCTCATTGCGAACACATAAATTTTATATCCTTTAACTTTTATTTTATTTTGAAATGTTTCAAAGGATTTTCCTATCATTCGATTGTTTTATTGCCACAAACTGAAATTGTTGAGGAGAAATCTATCGATTACGGGAAATCCTTTTTGCTGTATCCAATGCAATGTAGATTGAAAGTAGAATAAAAATTTATGCAAAAGTATAAATCCATAGCAGATTTATTTTATGTAAATAATTTTGAGTTTTTTTTTTGGCATTGCTCGAATGTTTGTTGTACTTTGTACTGATTACGGGGTAGGAACAAGGTAGGTGAACTTTTTAGTGAAGAGTAGATGATAAATAAATCCTTTGTACAGCCTTAAAGGTATTGTGCCTGCGATCAACATAGTCGAAAATTGAAATGGAATTTAATATTTAACGATTAGGAGAACTGGTTATTATCTTGTAACAGGAGTAATGTTAAGGATATCAGATCAACAACTCAGCCTCAATTGGATTAGCAAACCTTTCTTTACACCCAGTTTTAAATTTGTTTGTGGATTTTTGAAGCTTTAGGTTCTCTAAATATTAGACAAGATATTCAAAGGAAGTACAAAAGACAACTGTTTAAGAAATAGATTGAGATTTGAGATTGGATTTCGTTCTAAGTTCTTAGATTAATAAGAAGTTAAGATATAAATGAAAAACCAAAGTCTAAACTAAAATGTGTTCATAGTCTGAACTAGGTTTGACCAAAATATGATTTAGGTTTGATCAAGGTCCAACCATAACAACCAAAATCCTAAACCATCCAAAATGACTTCAAACTTCCTGTATAAATCATAACTTATTTACCAACCCTTGACCAGAAATGAATTACAGTAAAAAATTTCCATTTCAATCAAAAAATTTTTTTTTGTTCTGTTCCTTCCTCTATTACATCCCGAGCCAACACAAAAAATCCAGATGAAACATGAAATAAATATATAAAAAAAAAATTGTTTTTCGGTGAAATTGATCCATCATTTCAATTCCATCTCATTTTGATTTATTTAAATATTCTGCACGCATCGAAAACGCGCGTACAGAACAAGTCGAGAACTGGAAATGTAGCTGGGTGGATTCTTTTTTCTTCAAATTAATTTTAATGCCTTGAATTTCAATTTTGTTTCTTTGATGATTGAATAAGGATTGATGAGTGTGGTTTTGAGAGGTAAAAGGTGATTGATTGGGGGTGTGGATGGGGTAGACTAGTTAAAAATGCATAGAGATGTAATGTCTTGTTCCAATACCAAAACTTTTCCTCAGAATTGATTTCAAGATCCAGTAAATCAAGCCAAAACTTCCGGCTTAAAACCATAATAAAAAAAGCGAAAAATAATGAAGCTTCATCCCATTCTCGCTTTTGTCTTAAATCATCCCTCTCATGACACTTGAAGAGCTCTTAATGCTCGCCAAATGCTTCATTTTATGGCACAGAAAAGCAGCAATAAAAATTTTTCTTTCACAGCTTCTTCTTGTTAAGGAATGAGAAGAAAGGAATTTGTGTGCATCATCATTATCCCCATGTTGATTTACAATTTCACGGTAGAAACTCTCAACGTCACATCTGTGCATCTTTTCGTGTGAAATATATTTTTCTTTTGACACGGAATGTGTCGCATGTGTGTATGGAACCTGAGACACTTGTTATTATCACAATAAAGATTAGATCAACAAAAATCATACATGAAAAATTAACGGTTTTTTTTAAGTTTCAAAAAATAACTGTCGTTTAAAATTCAAATTTTTGTGCTTTTTCTGCTGTAGAAATTCAATTGTTTTCTATCCGTTAAATTTTGAAATGAAATATAAAGGCAGAAATTTAACTTCAAATAATTCATTTATTAATCTTCATCACTATCTTTATCCTCAACCTTCGGCACCTTCTTCTTTTTTTTGTTTAACTTTTTCTTACTTTTAGAATCAATTTGTGTGCTTATATTCTTTCGTTTTGGTGCTCTCTTCAGCAAAGCATCACGTTCCTTCTTCGAACTTTTCTTTAATTGAAGCAAGAAAGGCTCAACTTGCGATCCTGATGACTTAATTAACTTAGCAACATCTCGAAGCAATCCAATCTTGTTGTCATCATTCGTGTAGAATGTTATAGCCTTTCCTTTTTTGTTGGCTCTTCCTGCTCTGCCAATTTTATGTACATATGATATTAAGGATGTTGGAAGATCAAAATTCACAACTAATGAGACATTCTGGAAATCAATTCCTCGCGACATTAATTCTGTGCAGATTAAAATCCAAATTTTGCCTTCACGAAACTTTTTGTAAATTTCATTGCGCTCCTTTCCAGTACGATCTGAATGAATGATGTCTATATTTAATCCATCATACATCAGTTCTGAAAACAGCTGCTTAGCACGATCCTTGGACTGAACAAATATCAAAATCGGTGGTTGAATGCCTTGTCGAATAATTTCACGAAGTTCCATTAATTTTGACGACTCAGTTCCAACATATCTTAGTTCCTGTTCAACTGATGACACTGGCATGTTTGGGGATATGTTTACAGTCACAAATCCACTTGATAGCTTCTCATGTACCCAAGCAGTCATTGTCTTTGTAGTCGTAGCACTAAATAATGCAAATTTTCTATCTGGATTGCTGCATTCTGTGAATATAACTTCAAGATCCTGCTGGAACGTTTGATTGCTTTCCTCAAAAAATTTATCGACTTCATCAATTACAATCCATTCAACACTTTTAAGTGATATCTTTGAGTTCTTAATAAAATGTACCAACTTTAGTGGCGTCGATATCAAAATGCTTGTCTTCTTTTTGTGGAAACTGCTCATGTGCGACTCATTAGTGCTCGTTACTATGTTAGTTCTGATGCTCGTTTCCTGACACATTCTTGTTGCTACTGATAGAATCTGTTGAGCAAGTTCCCTTGTTGGTAATAAAATCACAGCAAGAATTTCGTCAGATTTTGGATTTTTGTTCCTCATCTCAATTAAGTTTTGGATTAATGGAATGATGAATGCCAAGGTTTTGCCTGTTTGATTGATTATAATTAATCGAGTGTGCCTTAATAAAAAATCAATAATAATTTACCACTTCCAGTTTGAGCACAAACTTTGACTTGCTTCTTCCTCAGCATTAATGGAACCACTTGCATCTGCACAACTGATGGTTTCTTGTAATTCAAGCTTAACAAGTTGCTTTTTAATGTCTCGTCAATAGTAAATCTCGAGAATAATTCATCAAATGACTCAATTGGAGTTTCTTTCTCATTGTCACCTTTGACATTAATGTGATTTTCCTTTCTAATCTTATTAACTCGTTCGTTTTCCTTCTGTTTCACATATTCTGCTGATAACTTCTTCCTTTTAACTTTAGGATTGATTTCCTGGATCTCAACATCACTTTCTTCTTGCTTAATTTCTTTTGGCAATTCACGTTTGCTTTTATTCTTAGTGAATTTGACACCTAATGTTAGACTTTTGAATATATCCATCATATATAGTCTGTTCCTTTGCTATTTTATAAGTTAATTTAATTTTTTCGGAAAAATTGTTTAAAATTTCAAATAATAACAGAAGCACATGGAGTTAGCACGAATTAAAAATGAGTTGTTTGTCTTATTTTTGTCTGACTTTCTATTTTTGAATTATTCGTCCCCCTTTCGAAAATGGAATTTTGAAATTAAGTTTAACGGTTTTTGGATGTTCTTTGATTGCTGACGAATGTGGCATGAACTGCCAGTAATGGAGGAAGAAGCTTTAAAATTGATTCTTAATCAATTAGAATGGCTAATAAATTGTTCAAATTAGTTTTTAATGATAAATTCATAGTCTGCATGACATAAACTTTAGATAAGATTGGAAAGAAGATTCTCAAGCTTTGATTAACCACCAAGTCATTCACTCTTTCCATACCTGTAGACTGTTAATTAACACACGCGTGTAGCATCTTCTTAAATATTGCATAAATTTGCATTTTATAAAAGTCAAACAACCAAATACATTTTTGCAGTCTGCAGACATAACATTTGATGCCAGTTCCTGCAAATTAAATTAATTTAACTGATAAGCATGTTTGGAGATATAATAAATTTATTTTGTTGATTGTACCTTGTTATAAAGAATTTGAGATAAAAAAATATTTACTTTGAATTTGAGGGTCTTTCGTGAATGAAGTAAGTCAGCAAATGTTTTTAAACCTTTAAACGTTCTCATTTATTGGCACACATCATTCATGAACGAACCCCTGATATATCAACATCACCAGCACTGCCTGAACCTTACTTTTTAGCATTAATACCGTCGTAAATAAAATGTTAAAAGTCAGAGATTAAAAAATGAATAAAACATGAAGCCTGCATTCTTTACAGTCCATATTCTTTAGCCAATTGTTCAGCTACGATCATCATTTGTACGTCCGTGACACCGCCATAAATTTCAGTAATTCTTGCATCCCGATAATAACGTTCAGCCGGTAGATCCTCAATAACTCCCATGCCACCCATAATTTGTATACAGTTGTGAGCGCAGAATGTTGCTGTTGTGCTTGCCTTCCACTTAGCCATTGATGTGTGCTTTGTGGACTTTAAATTTTGATCTTTCTTTTGTGCTGCTTGTCGAACCAACAATCTTGATGACTCAATTTCTAATGCCATTTCAGCTAGTCTTCTCTTTACAGATGACATTTTTAAAATTGGACTGTCAAATGCAATGCGTTGTGATGCATAATGTACAGCTGTATCCAATGATGCTTGAGCGATACCAAGTGCTTGGCTGGCAATTCCAACTCTTGCTACATCTAATTGTTCCATCGCTACTTTAAATCCTTTCCCAGGAAGACATAAAACATCATCGGAATGAACACGGACATCAGTCAAAGTCATGGAAATGGTCGATGTGGCTTTAATTCCAATTTTTCTTTCATTCCTGCCACGCTGAACACCTTCTTGATTCATACTGACTAGAAAAGCTGCAATTCCTTTATGCTTTTGACCTTTATCGATTGTCGCAAAGACTATTGATGCACCAGCTTCTGTTCCTGACGTTACCCATGCTTTACTTCCATTTAGCACGTAATAATCACCATCTTTACGTGCTGTTGTCGAAATTGCTGAAACATCGCTACCCGCCTCTATTGTAAATAGACATGAGATAAGAAATTAGCATGTGATGAGATAATTGGATATGCTATATGCTTCTTACCCATTTCACTTAATGCAAAGGCACCAATCTTCTTTCCTGTCGTGTATTCTCTCAGCCATTTCTCCTTTTGTTCCTGAGTTCCTATTCGACTTAATAGATTAGCATAAAGGCAATTGTGGATTGAGACTATAGCACCGACACTTGCACATCCTCGAGATAGTTCCTCAACAATTACAGACAGACTTAAAATGTTCATATTGGAACCACCAAACTCAGCAGCTGCACTGACTCCCATGAATCCCATGTCACCAAGTTTTTCAATTTGTTCTGTTGGAAACCTTGATTCTCGGTCATTTTTAGCCACAACTTCTGGTCTGAGCTCTTCATTTGTGAACTTTCTGACTAAATCCTGGATTATTTTAACATCATTTGGAAGATTTGTTGTGAAATAGCGTGTAATTAACTTGTTGGCACTTAATGATAAGCTCTTATGCCTTAAACTGTTTATAGACATTTAGGAAACTTAATTAAATTAATGAAGACTGTCGAGTAAAGTCAAATCAATCAAATGAATGTAAACATTCGAATTTCGAAAATCAGTAGATTTGAATTTTAATTGACTGTTATGATATTGAACAAAAAATTGTAATTTAAGACATGATTCTTATGTGTTGGTACATTTTCACTTGATTCAAGCAACAACAGAATGAATTCTAGCATAAAACTTACGAAAAACGACAAATAAACAGCACAGCAAGTTAAACAGTTTTTAAAAATTCAAATCAATGTTCGAAATAGATCCAAGCGAGTAGAAACTACGACTTTTGAATAGAAAATTACTAATTTTTTGAAATTTTATAAAATTAAGTTTTTACAGTCAAAACACAGGTAATTTATTATAAAAACTATTTCAAATTATAAAGTAGCTCATTATACGTCAGAATAACATAAAGGATAGTCGAATTCCTAGTGATTTCTGATAAAATTCATTAAATTAACATTTTCCCGGCACAAAAACGTGTTTTTAAACAAAAAGCATTGAAATTTTCCAGATATAACAATGGCAGAAACAGAAAATGTTGCACCTGAAGTCATCGCTGTTGATGAAAAGGAAGTAGAGATTAAGGATGCAAAATCAGAAAATGGATCATCACAAGAATTACCAGAAAATGTCACAAAATTGGAAGGTGATATTATTCGACAGATTGAATATTATTTTGGTGAATGTAACTTAAATCGTGATAAGTTTCTACGTGGTAAAATCAATGATGATAAAGACGGCTGGGTACCAATTACTGTTTTGCTCACATTCAATCGCTTAAAGGCATTAACAGAAGATGTAAAAGTTATTGCTGAAGCTGTTGAAAAAGCAACAAGCGGCTTAGTACAAATAAGTGAGGATAAAGAGAAGCTTCGTCGACATCCTGACAATCCATTACCTGAATTTAATGAAACACGCCGTAAAGAATTATCACGTCGTACAGCATATGCTAAAGGACTTCCATTAGACTCAAAAATGGATACACTCGTCGAGTATTTCAACAGCAATTTCCAAAAAGTTGAGAATGTCGTCATGCGAAAGTATTACGACTCAAAGCCAAAAGTATATAAATTTAAAGGATCTGTTTTCATTCTTTTCGAGAAGCGCGAACAAGCTGAAGAATTTGTTAAAAAGGAAGGCTTGAAATATGGCGAAAAGGAACTACTTCGATACATGCAGGAAGAATATTTCGAAGTCAAAAAGAAGGAAAAGTCTAAAAAGGATGAAAAGAAAAAGGCAAAGAAGGCAGAACAACAAGTTGAAAAGGATGATGACATCTCATTGCCTAAAAATGCTGTTGTTCATTTCAGTGGAATTGAAGGAAGTGTTTCACGAGAAGATATCCGTAAACGAGTTTTGGAGATTGATCCAGCATTGACTATTGCATTTATTCATTTCGAACGCGGTGACAAGAAGGGAGAATTGAGATTCTCGAAGGAAAATGATGGAAAGTCGTTTGTTGAGAAGCTTGAAGATGGAAAGGTAAGTTGATGTCTTTTGATTTAGACTAGATTAATCCTTGGATTTAAAATTGAATAATAATATTTGTCTTTATTGTGAGTTTCTTGTAAATATTTGAAATTTAACATTACATGGATTTTTATTTTAACACCAACCTATTCGGTTTAATTTAAACTTAACTTGATTCTTAATTACGTATTTCGTGATATGTTCAATATAATGAGATTATTGGTTGAAGAAAAGTGGAAAAATTAAAATAATTATATATATAAAAAGAAAAACCTCTCCTTTAAGAAGAAATAGGTTTTGGAAGTCTGTGCTTCAAACGAAAGTCTAGAGACTCATATCTATATCGTCCCAGGTTGGAAATTTAATCATTAGAATGTGATTCGCAATTTGAATAAAATTTATTAGTCAGTTTGAGTGTAAACTCATTAATTGTGGGAATTTTAGCTTTAGAATGAATAAATTCATTAGAGATAAAGTCATCCCATTTAATATCGTAAATTTGTCTTGGTAGCTTATTTTGAAAAACTTGGAGTTTATTGAAATTAGTTTTTGCACAATTAATGAAGATGGGGCAAGCATAAATTATTATTGGGCGTAGAATTGATTTGTAAATCCTGAGTTTGGAATCGGAAAAAACTCCCGAGTTTCTTTTCAATAATGGGTAGATGAGGTGCAATGACTGATCCTTGTGGGACCCCAGCAAAAATCTTAAAGATGAATGACTTAGATTTATTCATAGACACATACGCTGCTCTGTCTTGGAGAAATGAAACAATAAGTTTAATGAGATGTAATGGGTAGTTACACTTGCTTAATTTATGGATGAGAGCATGGTGCCAAACAGCATCATAAGCTTTTCTCAAGTCCAAAAGTACTAAACCTAAACTTTTATTGCGATTGAAACCTAAAGCAGCCTTTTCAGATATTCTGAGTAGTTGCTGCTTCGTTGAGTGTTTCGATTTAAATTCGAATTATCGTTTGATAAAAATGTTGTTGTCCTCTTCAAAAGTACATAAACGAGAATTAAAATTGAATCAAGAGATTAAAGTGTGGCTTAAGTTAATTCATAGATTAGCAATTAAATCTAGAGCTTGAAGTCTGGCTTAAGTTTATCCAAGGATTAAAATTTAAATCAGAAGATTAAAAAATAATCCAATTCCTAATCAACTTTTAATGCTCATTTCCAGATGAAATTAAATGACGTTGAACTCAGCTTGACGTTACTTGAAGGTGAGGAAGAAGAAAAGTTCCTCAAAACAGCTCTCGAAGACATGAAGAAGGCAAGACAGCGAATTAATCAAAAGAACAAAGGACGTGGACGATTCAACAGATTTAGTGACAGAAAGCGTAAGAATGAAGACCGAGACAATGAAGGAGACAAGCCTGCTAAACATGCTCGTGAAGACAACAGTGTAGCAGTTCCAGTTGCTGCATCAGAATAAAGTTTTACTTCTAATTAGTTATTAATGCCCAATTTAAAGATTAATATCTTTTTCAATGCGAAGCACTTGGAAGTAACTTCACTAATCGACTGTCAATATGAAAAAATAAAAAGGATATTTTGAAATAAAAATTTGAATTATTGTTCTTAAAGGATAATTGCCAATTGTTATAGTTTAATCTTGGTTTATTTTTTTTTTCGTTTACAGTTAATTAATTTATTTATCCCATCGTGAGAAACTTGCTGCTAATCATGCACGATGTCATTGATTTTTTTGGAACAAAAGTATTTAAATTAATAAATTTAACCAACAATTAAGAGTCCCTCGTCTGGAAAAGCGTATGGTGGAACTTCCAAATTCAATGGTGCTGGACCTTTTCTGATACGTCCCGATGAGTCGTAGTGAGAACCGTGACATGGACAGTAATATCCGCCATATTCACCAGCATTAGCAATTGGTACGCATCCTAAATGAGTACAGACTCCGATAATGACAAGCCATTTGGGATTTGATGCACGTTCACTATCGTGTTGTGGATCTCTGAGTTCAGACAAATTGACTGATCCTTCGGTTGAAATTTCCTCTTGCGTACGATGACGAATGAACAGTGGCTTACCACGCCATTTGAATGTGACATTTTTGCCTTCTGGGATGTCAGCAAGCTTAATTTCAATCTTGGCCAAGGCAAGGACATCAGCTGTGGCACTCATTGATGAAATGAATTCTGTGACTAAAACCTTTGCAGAGTATGCAGCTGTAACAGTGGTTGCTAAAATGAAAATGACAAGAATTAGCATTGGATGTAAAAAATGAAGAATCTATGACTATTCTAGATTAGCTAGCTAGTCAAACGTACCTCCAACAAGAGCATAGGAGAAGGACTTTCGTTCCTCAGCTGATTGAGCTTTGCCTGCAGCACGTTTCGTCGAATCACGTCTATATCCACTAAAGTCTGGAACTGAGACATCAGTGTGAGCGAATCGCACTTGAGTTGATGCTACAAATAGAGGATATAATGAATTTTCACTGTATTGACGTTGTTGTAAGCAAATTCTGATTGGTTATATAATTTTATGAAATGTCTTCATTAAATCATTGAACACCAATCAAAATCACAATATTATTAATAGATATTGTTATACTTACTAGCAACTCCTGTTTTGATGCTAACATTGTTCCCTGGAAGCTGATTGCTGAGTGTATAAACTGTCAAATGTTCCTTTTGATCACCAGAAACTTTCTTTTCAGACAGTGCGGCAACAGCTAGTGGTTTAAGGCCATTAGCAACGACTTGGTTTGTTGCTCTTAGATAATTTCCAGCCTTTGATGCGATATTAATCATGATGCACAAGCTGAGCTCACCACTATATTTAATTTAAAAATTATTCTAAGTCGAAGAAAATTATGAATTTGAACCGGGGAGAATCAACTTTAGTGAAAGTTAAAATGATTTTGTAATTAATGATAGATTTTGATCTTGATATGTTGCTACACTGGGAGTTTAAGAGATATTGAGCATTAAAAATCAATCTAGAAATTTATAAAGGAACAAGATGGGCTGGAAAGTGTGTTTTGAGAATCTGAAAAGTTTCGTTAAAAAAGTTTTAAATGTTTCCGTTAAGTTGATGTTCCCCTGAATAACCAACATCGATGATGCAACTTTTGATTTGAATTATTTCATTGATTTCTATGAAATTTGCATCAACTAAAGAAGTTTGAAAAGCTTTTATATTGTAAATTTGCAAGTTTGATAATACTATTTAACAACTGGCAGTTGTTATGCTTGCTATTTGGAGAAAATTGAATTTTTATCAAAAAACTAATATTTTCACACAGACATGACTCTAATTCAAATTTTTAAAATTCGTTGAACAATTTACTAAACTCAAACATTAGAAAATAACGGTCAATGTGACAAAAACTAATTGAAGACCTTCTTAATTGCTCAAAAATGAATTGATCAATCGCAAAAAGTTTTCCTCATTAAAAATGTTCATTAATTTAAAAACTTTTTCAAATTTAAAGTTAACTAATCTCCATATTACCCTCCTCTCGAGCATTTAAAATGAAGTTGAAGAAATCCACAGCATAAATAAATAGAAGAGATATGTAAAAGAATGCACAATATTCTATTAAGGAAGTTTATTACATAAAAAGCGGAAAAATATACAGAAATGAAAATCCTCCCTTGAGTTTCAGATAAAACAAATTTCCATAATGCCTCTTTTCTTTTCTATTGCACACAGAGATTTCTTGTACATTTTTAAAGCAGTGTAGAAGCTTTATGACGTCAGATTGTAAGTCATAATGAAGATAGGGAAAACTAAGGGTGAATTTCGGAAACAGTTTTTCATCCCCATTTATAAAATATTTCACCTAGTTTTGTGCTTCTTTTAGCATTTATAATTTGATTGAATACCGAAGATGTAAAGTATATGCTGTATAAAATGCACAAGGGGAGATAATTTTTCTCTTCTTTTCGATGAGGATGAATGGAAATGTGGGACAAACTCGTGATTTTTGGCAATGCAATGGGATGAGTTGGTGATGTGATGGATAATTATGAGGAAGTATTTACTTTATGCTGCTCTGGGAGCTATAATTGCATGTTAATGGTTGTGATAAAATTTTGAAAATGGTAAACATTCAAAACTTTTGAATTTTGGAATTTTTAAAAAATGAAAATAATTATAAAATTTGAAGTTTATGAATTTTAAAATGTAATAAATTGAAAATATTGAAAAATTTAAATTTTTGAATTTTGAACAAATTATAAACGTTCAATTTGAAATAAATAAAATCATAAAAACTTTCAAAAAATTTAAAATTGGTCTTCGAAACTTGTTTTTGAAATTAAAATCTTAAAACTTTTTAAAAAGTGAAAAATTCAAAAAATTGAAGAAATTTCAAATCAAATCTTTTCACTTAAATTGAAAAAAATCCAAAAATAAAGAAATTTTAAAAGAATTTAATTTAAATTATCCACTAAACGCGACATCATGAAATCAGCAAAAAACGCATCTAATATTTGATTGAAATTTCATTCATCCCTAATTTTCAATCTATTGTCATTTTGATTACATTTTACGCTTTCTCAATTTTAATTTCCAAACATTTTGATGTGAAAATTTTTATTTTTATCCCCTGCAATTTTCCTATTTTTCTTATAGGATGAAAAATCCCCAGCTGAAATTTTCTATATTCACAACAGAAAATTCATAGCAGGAGCTAAGAGGTTTACTAAGGCAAGCAAGAAAAGAGGAAAAATGAAAATGCCATTGTAGTAGTTTTTCCGACTGCCTCAAATATCGATTCCAGATGCGCAAAAATGCAGAAATTTTCTACACAAAAATGTTGTATGTCCCATAAAAATGCCTTGCTTTTTTGTGTATTAACGCACATGTAATGCGAATGAATAGAAACGCACGTAAAAAGTCATTTGTATTCGTTTCTCCTGCTCACTTACTCATTCTCTTACCCAAATGTCCTTTCCAATTTTATTCTATATCTTCATATCAAATCAGTGCGTTAAATGCTAAATAATTTTACTTTAGGGCAATAGTAAAAACACAGTAGAAATAAAATTAATGAGTATGCCTGTTTTTTTTTGTTTTTGGACTTTAGTTAAAATTACAAGAAGAAAAGTCAATGATTATTTTTACTAATTGATGGATATAATGGTCAGATGTCATTAAAAACCAACATATATGTTTAATCTCTTGCATTGATGTAGATTTCTGAATCAATTGTCAGTCAAGGGTGTAAAACTTATTATGATAAATCATGTTTTAATAATTTTTATCAGTTTCACATACATCTTGATGAACAGATAGTGCATGATTTATCCAATACTACTCAGAATGACACAAATTAATCAGTTAAAATTGCCACTATGAACAATTTTAAATGTTCTTAAAAAATGTTTCACTTCAAAAAGTTTTTCTTAAATTTTTATGTTTCTTAAGCATTGAAATAACGTAGAATCAGTGTAATATGAAGTAAAAAAGGAGCAAGACACTATCTACAATGCATTCTTAACAAAAACATTGGAATATTTAGTGTTATGAATATTTTTCTTAAAAAGCACATGGCAAAAATGAAAATTTAACTACAAATTACAGAAAATTGTTCCTCAATAAATTATTTATCACTATCAAAAACTAATCTGATAAAAAAAACTCACAAATTTTAACTAAATTCAAATTCAATTCAACGATAATAAAAAGTATCAATCAAACTAATCAGTAATTCTCAATTATAGAGCATAAAAAGGATAAAGGAAGTAAAATGAAATTACATAAAAATGTAGGTAAGAATCTATCAAAAAATCCCATTCCATTTTTAAAAAAATTTCAAAATAAAAAGAAAAACAAAAGCGAGAGAGCGAAATTGTTCAAGGAAGCTCACGAAAAAAGACATGCTAGCGGTGTGAGTTTTGAAAAGCGAAAGTTTTTTTCCCTCCTTTTCTTCAAAACGTCTTCTGTAAAATGGAAAGTTTCTTCCTATTTTTTTCGAAAAATAAAAATTCTTTCCCTTTCGCCTTGAACTCACTCTCCAGTCAGTCAACATAGAAAGCAACTTGAAAAGCGAAGGGAGACGAGGCAAAATACTCGTGAGAGAGAGTGAAAGTGAATGTACAATTGCATGGAATGGGTTTTCTGTTTGTGTGAGGGTGGGCCGTGTGGCTGCAAACGAGGTGGAATGAGTGGAACCTCCACTTTTGAGAAAAAAAAGTTCATTCTACATCTTCGGAAAGTTTTCGTTTCTCTCTCGCATGCCTTTGACTGTATTTGTGTTTATGATATGACGCTTATGCATGGCACTTGCTTTTCCCTGTGTATTTACTATCGAAACTTTTATCCTTAATGTTGAATTATTACATAAGAGATGATTCTCGGTACTCAAACACATCCTTCGACTCTGATGAACATAATAGGAACCACCATAAACCATACTCATTCAATGTCATTTTTCGCATTTGCTTTTATGTATGCTTGTGACTATATGCTGCTTTTTTATGTACACATGCCTTACATACATCACAGAAAAATCTTCATGCAAAGCATTATACATTCTCGTGTATACGCATATCCTCTTGTGATGGCCTGCTAAATTTGAACTCAAAGGCATCATCAACAATATCCTATACAGCACAATCTCTTTGGTGTATTTTGTGATGGAAAATGTGCAATTATCGATTCATTTTGGATTATTCGACTGGGGATTTTGGATGTTTGAGGCGGATTTGGGGCGGATTGTGTGGTTATTGATGGATAAGGTGTTGTAAAGTTTTGAGTATGTGAGCTGGGCTGATTTTAGGGTATCGTCCTATATATAAGCTAATCTGCTGGTGTAAGAGTAAAGGTTCTGTGGTTCAATGGTAAGGCCATAGGTCAGATATCTCGATTTTTTGTTTAAGAGGTCTTGAGTTCGATTCCCAACAAAATGTAACTGCTTCACGTAGCTTTCGACATTTCAATCTGGTTTTTCGGAATGTTAACTTAATGATGCATTTCTTGATGGATGCATTTAAATTGGAACTTGTAGGTAGCAGTCAAATCTGGCAAATCAGAATTTGTGACCTTAATTCTTCTTTACTTAAGCCATAGATCCTTCAAAAACCACCAACTCTACATCAAATCACAGCAATAACTGCGCTTTATTCACTTCATAAATTTCTCATTAATTTCATATTCTACACACAAAAATTTCGCTCCGTCTCTAAACGTAACGTACGGTACATATTCGTTCTCCTCAACCCATCTCGCAATCACTTTGCCGGATGTCATTCAATTTGAATTAGAAAGCTATAATAGCTGTATAGCACAAAATGAGGATTTTTTTTTCATCTCGAGTACATTGCTAAAGCATATCTAAACGAAGCAACATCACTTCGAGTTCTCTTCTCTTTATTTTTTGTGCCCTACCATATGACATGAATGTATGCTGAATGCGGGGAGAATGGAATTGAATTGAATAGATGGAATAGATAGGAGAAGGATGTGTACATGAAAATTGTGTTTTGTGAATTTATTCTCTGCTGCTTTCATTTCTCAATTCTTATGTAGATGTGCTTGTGTAGTTCATTAAGAGAACTCCTCTTTTGTCTTTGAATTGCCTATCTTGTTACTGATGAAAAATAGAATGGAAAGGAACTCGAGTGCAATCTTATCTGCATATAATTCATGGTTGATTAAATTTTGGAAGGAAATTCATGTATTTCGGTGGGATCTGAACACTAGATTCTTGTTTATATTTCGGACATAGACTAAGCAACGACCTTAATACGGTGAAATGGCATCAGTGGCCTAAATGGTAGAGCGTTGGCCTTACGTGCCAAAGGTTCTGGGTTCAATCCCAGGCCATGTCTAATTTTCGAATCTCTTTTTCCATTTCACCGTTCTAGTTACGAAGCTCGGTTCGTGTGTTGGGTATACTTTTGAGGTCTGTGGCACAGAATATGTCTCCTTTACTAGGTATACAAGGATATACTTGCATCTGGATGACTTCCTTACGGCATCTTGCGCACACGAATTGTGACTAGGTACATTGCAGGGTACATCAGGTCTTATGACGTACTCGTGTCTTTGCAATGTGCAGAGCTTGCAAGTGGTTCGGATGCCA